TCATCATCCTGCAAGATCGACAAGATCCCTGAAAAAGGTAGTCCATATTTTGAAAAAACCAGAATAATCCTCTGGGTCAGGTCCATAGCGTAAGTCCTCAGAGAGAAAGGAACGAGTAATAAGGCTACTTACAGATCTCTCTGGTGCAGTGAACAGAAGATGACTGAAGTCTGTAACCTGATGAGGTGGGTGAAGGACACACTGCTGGCAGCTGCAAAACCTGCCAAGTGGTAGAAGTCAAATTGTTTTTGCCAGAGAACTAACAGTCACATAATCCTGGCAAGGCACTTGGGCAGGATGAGAAATGCAATGTAGCTCCTACATACCGGGAATTTGTGCAGATATTCAATGGATGACATTCAATTTAGGCAGATGACTCCCTCATGAGGGATCTCCCCCAGTGTTATACTGAACATGAACCATCATGCCCTGTACATCTACATTGCTTCTCTCAGTTGAACATTCTGGTACCCAGGAAGAGAAGGCCGAAGGCTTTCTCATATTCACTGCACTCAAAAGCCACTTCCTCACTGGCAGTACTCCTGTGGATAGTCAAGCTAGAGTTTTGGCTAAAGAATTTCCCAAATTGACTTCATTTATGAGGCCTTTCTCCAGTGTGACCTCTCCAGTGTTGAAGGACTGAAGAGCTGTGATGAAATGAATTTCCACATTCACTGCATTCATCAGGCCTTTCTCCAGTGGGAACTCTCCTGTGCTGAATGAGACTGAAGTTTTGAGCAAAGGATTTTCCACATTCACTGCGTTCATAAGTCTTTGCTCCAGTGTGAAGTCTCCTGTGATTAATGAGACTGGAGTTTTCAGTAAAAGTTTTGCCACATTCATTGCACTCATAAGGCCTTTGTCCTGTATGAACTCTCCCATGTTTAATAAGACTAGAAGTTTGAGCAAAGGATTTCCCACATTCAGTACATCCATAACGACTTTCTCTAGTGTGAATTCTCCGATGAACATGGAGTGCAGAACTTTGCCGAAATAATTTCCCACATTCGCTACACTCATAAGGCCTTTCTCCACTATGTAGTCTCCTGTGATTAATGAGACTAGAGGGATAAGCAAAAGATTTCCCACATTCACGGCACTCATAAGGCCTTTCTCCAGTATGTAGTATCCTGTGATTAATGAGATTAGAAGGATAAGGAAAAGATTTCCCACATTCACTACACTCATAAGGCCTTTTTCCAGAGTGAATTCTGCAATGTTGCAAGAGTGAAGAGCTTCGATGAAATGATTTTCCACATTGATTGCACTCATAAGGCCTTTCTCCAGTGTGAACTCTCCTGTGTGTCTTTAGATGGGAGTTTTCAGCAAAGGTTTTTCCACATTGACTGCACTCATAAGGCCTTTCTCCAGTGTGAACTCTCCTGTGTTTCAAGAGACTCGAGTTTTCAGCAAATGTTTTTCCACATTCGCTGCACTCATAAGGCTTTGCTCCGGTGTGAACTTTCCTGTGCCTCATGAGAACAGCGCTTTCAGCAAAGGTTTTTCCACATTCGCTGCACTCATAAGGCCTTTCTCCAGTGTGAACTCTCCTGTGTTTAATAAGACTGGAGTTTCCAGCAAAGGTTTTTCCACATTCACTGCACTCATAAGGGTTTGCTCCAGAGTGAACTTTCCTGTGCCTCATGAGAAGGGCCTTTTGAGCAAAGGTTTTGCCACATTCACTGCACTCATAAGGCCTTTCTCCAGTATGTAGTGTCCTGTGATTAATGAGACTAGAAGTACAAGCAAAAGATTTCCCACATTCACTGCACTCATAAGGCCTTTCTCCAGTGTGAATTCTCCTGTGTTTAATGAGACTGAAGTTTTCAGCAAAGGTTTTTCCACATTCACTGCATTCATAAGGCTTTGCTCCAGTGTGAACTTTCCTGTGCCTCATGAGAACGGCCTTTTGAGCAAACGTTTTGCCACATTCGCTACACTCATAAGGCCTTTCTCCAGTGTGAACTCTGCTATGTTTAATCAGATGAGAGATACAAGCAAAGAACTTGCCACATTCACTGCATTCATAATGTCTTTCTCCAGTGTGAACTCTTCTGTGTTCAGTCAGATGGGACTTGGTCTTAAATAATTTCCCACATTCCCCAAGCACATGAGGCAGTTCCCCACCGCGAACTCTCTGGTCTTTGTATACGTGTACACAACTGTTCTGCTTAGAGGATGCCGCCTCATCTTCCCCTCCATGCCAACAACCTAAAAGCAAGGAAATGCTGGTGAAGTGCACGTTGATTTCTTTGAGAGTGTGCAGCCCATCCACAAGTAAATCTGACAAACCAAAAAACTAGTCCCTGGGATTTGCAAGCACAGGGAATTGGGTTCAGGTTCAGGGTGGGGCTGTTCAGCAGTTATCACAGAATGTAGGCGGCGGCCTCATGGTGTGAAGGGAATGACCATACTATGCAAAAGAGTAAAGGCAGGGTTTGTAACTCCTTCCTCCGCAAACAACTTGTCTGCAGGACCTTATCTGTTCAGGACACACGAGTACTATTTAGAAGAATATGTCCACACCTAAGAAAATATGACTACAACACAGCAGTCTTTTGTCAGGGACTGTTTAAGAATGGGTACATGCTTCATAATACAAAATGTATGAGCCAATATTGAAGACCACTGCAGATGCAGCAGTGAGAACAACAGGTGAGATGTGGAGTTTAGAGATGTGAAGATTAGTCCTCAGCTGGATATAACAGCAGAAGTCACAAGGCGTAGGAACAACAAATTGGCAAACTCTCAAGAATGGGCAAGACAGAATAAATATGTGGTACCTGTACGGCTCTAAAATACTAATCAAACAGAAAAGCTTTGTGGCATGATTTGAACAAAAGCTCTGACATCATGCCCTTATTTACATGTCACTCTTGAGAACCAGGCTGCCTCTAAGCACACCTTGCTGAGGCTGGATTGCTTTGCATCTTAAAGACACGCAAGAGCTCTCCATCTCATCACCATCATGGACGCGTACATAGGACCCAGATGATGTAAGTAGTAAGAGAGAGACAGGACAGATGAACAGGCAACACTGACTCAGAAAAATCTAGCACTTGATATCCCACAGGAAAGGACACTAAATACTGCAAGAAATTCTTTCTTTCTTTCTTTTTTTTAGATAGGTTCTCACTCTGTCGCCAGGGCTAGAGTGTCACTCCTGTCTCAGCCTACCAAGCTCCTTGGACTACACGTGTGCCTTCACTATGACTGGCTAATTTTTCTATTTTTTGTAGAGACAGGTCTCGCTCTTGCTCAGGCTGGTTTCAATCGAACTCCTACTGACCTCAAGCTATCCTCCTGCCTCAGCCCCTCAAAGTGCTAGAATTACAGGTGTGAGCCACCACACCTGGCCCTATATATTTATTTATTTTTAGACGTGAGATCTCACTATGTTGCCTGGGCTGGCCTAGAATCCTTGGGCTCAAGGGATCCTCCCACGTCAGCCTCTGAGTAGCTGGGATTACAGGCGCATGCCACTGCACCCACAAAAATACTACAAAAACAATTTTGAAGGAAGGTGTTGCAAGGATAGGCTGTGGTCCATGTAAGTAGTGACCATGTCCGTGACAGCAATTCCTCGCATAGACAGACATGAACAAATGTAGATAAAGGAGGGAACGAGAACCTGGGACAGACAGGAGCCTTTGATCTGCAGTCACCCAGACATCCAGAAGGCAAGCAACATGGGATGTATTAGGGTAACTGCAAGACCCTGACCCTGAATCCTTCCCTGGGAGTCTGCAGGAAAGCAGGTGTTGGGGCTGCTCTATGAGAGGAAATGGCACAACCCACACCCAGTCCTAACAATCATAGAACATACCTAGAGAAGTGAAAAAAAGAAGTTGTGTCCACACTCCTGAAGTGAGAAAGTCTTGCCAATGGGGAAAAAGGGGAAGGGCAGAGACTAGGTCAGGTGACAGGGATAAGTGTAAGGGCCTTACCCAGGAACGTTATAAGTGTCAAGTTCTCCAGCATCACGTCACGATACAGGCATCTCTGAGCCTCATTAAGAAGACTCCATTCCTCCCAGGAAAAGTTCACAGCCACGTCTTCAAAAGTCACACTGCTCTGTTACGATGGGGACAGATGAAACCACAAACAGCCCCTGCTTAGGACCCACAATCCATTTCCCCCACATACCTACCCTTCCCCAACCTCCTCCCAGGGTACCCAACTTAGAGGAGAAACTTTCCCATTGCTGACACTCTGTCCTCGGGGGCCCACTGATCACAGTGTATGACCACCAGCGACAACAGGCACGTGCACAAACAGGTATCTAACCTGTAGCCCTGACATAAAGGGATCCCCACTCTTTTTACCAGCAATTTCTGTGGCAGAGAGAAAGTCACATCATCCCAATGGAGTGCCCTAGGGCCATCAGACATACTCCCTCTCTACATGCATGTCCCAGCCATCCTTGGACACCACAGACACATGTCCATGGCCATTCCCACCTAACTGACCCCCATCATTAGCCTCTCTCTGGCATCCCCTACTTTTCCTTCTACTGATAAGGGTAGTATTCTCACCCTGGGTTACAGTGATGGCAAAACACATGGCTCCTGACATTGGAAAGATATCAACATCATCAGCTCGTTAATCAAATATACTGACAGCCTGAGAGACACGGGACACCACTCACCACACAGGAGTACACGGACACTGCACTATGGATATCAGTGAGCAACCAGGGAGTGATGGATGCAAGCTGTGTAGGATAAAGAGAGTGTGATGGTCCCTGATTCCTTTGGGAAGATGCAATTGACTTGTTTGGAAAACTGTGGGTAGGAACAAAATTGAAACCCACTACAAAGGAATAATAATCAGAAACTCTGCCTGGACCCCTTGATAAAAGGTGTGTTGGGCTAGGATACCTGAACCAAGAGAACAGAGTGGGGAGGGGATTTGCAATCAGGCCATTTCAGGTCACACCAACGTCACCAGATGTCAATGTGGCACATCATATTGCACCTTGATTTTTGGCTTTACACCACACCGTGTCTGACATCACCTACAGTATGCTTGGCAAATTCAAACAGAATCCAAAATTGCCACAGAATTCCAATGGTTCCCAATACCAGTGGCAGTCCAGATCATTCTATGAAGGACTCGGTGCATCAATCCATAGCCACACAGAACCACATGAGGTTTCAGATATCCACAGCCCCATCCTGTTTCTGTGCTGCATTTGCTATTCCCTGAGAAATTATGACTTTCCACTGTCCATGTGATACCATTCAAAGCACAGAACCAATGGTTGCCCACCCCAGGCTGATGGATTGTCACAGGTAACCATTTATGTCTTTTACCTAAGCCACCAGGGTGAATAAAACACTTCAGACCCCACCTAATTTGTCATAGAATCTTGGTAAATCCACAAAGTGGTGAATAAGCACAAGCTCCAACCTGAGTGTAACCTACCTTCAATTACTTCAATGCTTCTGCATCCATCTCATGTATATTCTCTCCATAAAAGCGTATGTTGCTGCCAAAGTATGCTGTCTAATACCTCTTCCTTTTATGGCCACAGACCTCCCTCAGCTGTGTCTCCAGAGGTCAATACCATCACTCAGGTACCCAAGCAACAGCCCTAACTTCTCCTTGTTGTTCCCCTAATAGCTTTACCACTATAATCTAAAGACGGACCCTCCTGAATGTGACCAGTGGCTCACTAACCTGGTCCACACAGTAGCTACCATATACTGGATGTCTGCATTATCAACGTTTCCCCAGATATCCCAACTATGTGTCCAGATGCCTATTAGATACTTCCACTTAGCGGCTTATAAAACATCTCACACTCTTAATGAAGCTATGATATTATGAA